TTTATGAGATTGGGCAAGATTCGATATTTGGAACAAGGTATTATATTTTATGGACATCTACATGTATAATGCGACATTGCAATATCCATCTGTATATATTCACACATGTAATCTTCAAACATATGTTTGACATTCAGACGATATGACGGTCAAACGTGTTTAAGGTCAGATCAGCATTAACAGGTTTTTAACACCTGTTATAGACTTATATAACAGAAGGTATATTATATAACTAGACAAACTAATATTGACATGGAATTTTACTAAAGAAGAATAACATGTATGTATGTTACATGTATGTAGTATGTTATTCTGACACGTGTCGCTGAATGGATATACAATTTTGACTTGATTTAACTGATACACATTGGTATGTTAATACCTCTAGTGAGCTGATTATTATTAAGTATCTAAAACATCAGGACCAGACGTTCAAAGACTAGTTAGCAACACCAGTCACTGACGCAAATTTTCAAAATGCAATATTGTGATAAATATAAGTATTTTACATATATTTTTGTATTTGCTGCCATAAGAAGATTATTTTGAACCTGATGAATTATTTTCTAGTTTTGAAATTCAGTGTCTTTTAATAAATACTAGATAAAACATTTTGCATTCAGTTTTTGTAAAGCTAACCAGGCTTGAGAACCAACGTTACTCAGGGTAGAGTTGTACTAAGCTTCATCAACTTGATGACACATAAATAAAATATTAATATTTTCCCCCTAGACGAATTTGCAGAACTTAAGGGTTTATTTAGTTTTTCCCTTGGTGGTGACTATTTAAATTTCACAACGAATAATGATCAGTGTTCATCCTAAAAATACAAAATATGATATCAGTGATTCTTATTTATATTTTCATTTTGTTAAGAGTACGAATATTTCTTATTGACACAACTAGGCTCCAACACGTGGAGATGTCTGTGGCATTTCTCATGCGTCACAAAATGAAACGACAATATGATATGATGTTTTTATAATTTTCTAATCCTATTGGTTACATAAGGGCAAACAAAATAGAAAAAAAAATATTGAGTAAATATAAAACGACAAAACCTGAACACAAACTTGATAAAAAAAATAAAGGTCTGCTGTACCCACCTGTTGAATTTAGTTAACAATAAAAAGAGATAATACTTAATTGCCAGAAATAGTAAAGAAGATCTATTTAGCACTTTATATCTTCCATGTAGAAATCTTGACAATATAGTCCGTTTCACTCGGTACTTCTCGGCCGATTCGGTCATCTAACGTTGGAAGGAACTGTAATCGGGGCGAGGTGTTTCGAATGAGTCCGTTTAGGACTCACCAGTGGTACTAATGGTCCAAAGGAAGTGTTCCGAAGCATATTTAGACAGACAGCGAGAGGGGAAAATGTGCCTGTTAAGGCCGGGATTCGTTATCCAGGCAAACCACTGGCTACCTAATCTCTACACAAAATGTATGTGACAGGTCAGCAGCCAAACTCAGTTTGTGTGAGAAGAAGTCCTGCTCTGTACCGTTATGTGCAACATGATATGTCTCATGGTAATTGTGAATTGACTGTGTGTGTTTACATTTACAAGCTGTGGAAAACAAAAACAATTAACAGACACTATCGTTCATAATTATAATTTTGGTTTTAATGATGTAAACATATTTTTTTATTGAATGATATCATTCCATAAACTCCATTCTATTCACAGTTATTACCACTTATGTCCCATGCATGGCTATCCTTTAGGATTTATACCGCTATCAATGCACAAGCTTTAACTATAACATATGATTTATTATCAAACTTCTACCGTACCGGAGTAAATTCAGGTAACAAGATAAAGTTTCAACCAACATAGGGGACTGATAGACCATCAGCAGAGTCAACCACCCTGTAACGAAAAACTATTACTAGAAATATTGGAGCACCTATTTAAAACTTTAGTACAAAATCCTGGCGGTCCGTCTTCACCAGTAAACTTCAACGTATTAGATGAACTTTATGACACAAACAATTGTCTAACAGACCATTTAAATATAAAACAAATGATATACATGTCATAACCAATGTTATCGATATGAACGTCTTAATAGCAGGACATAAAAAGCGAATAGAGGTCTGTAATGTGTATTGATCTCAATGTAACTGTTTTCTCTCTCGTATGTACCAAGCTCAAACATAACCTGAATACATTTATGGTGTGTCCCTGCAGGACCGTCAAGCAACCGTTAAGTTTCCTCGGCGTTCTCTCTATAGACCGCAGAACAAATTGTTTGTGTTATATGAGGGAAATAAAAACAACACCTTCACTTTTTATGTTTAATATGCAACACAGACTGAATTGTTTATGGAAAGTCGTTACACTGCGGGCTGCCATTATCTTTATATCTATGCATAAGGAGAGGACGTGTCAAAATCATTAAAGTACTAGAACAGTGCGGTTAACAACGACCATGACACTACAAGTAGAATTTGCGCTGATTTAGTAGTATTGGCCAGTAGTTTAAAACAGTTCAGATCGGCTGTACGATGCAGTGTATTTCACTTGTGACATACGTTATCAATTACCAAAGGCTAAAGGTGCGATCATCTGTGGTGTGTCGTACGTTCATTTTATAATAAAATATTCAAACAATGATAAAAGTCGCCGATAGCAAATCAAAACAGAAAAAAAATACCTATGAATACATGTTATGTGTTATATGTTTGTCGTGTCTGGTCAGGACATGTGTATGATCTATTAGCGTTTGGTAATGAGAATTATTAATATGGTATATGCTAATGAGGTATACACTTATATAGTTGTACTGTTTTATTACCAATAAAAGTGACATTATGATTCTTCACGTATGTGTGTTTAACTAAGGATTGCTGTGTTGATATGATCATTAACACCTGCTATGATAATATACATATATATAAGTATGATAATTAGATCAAAAATAATTATGTACAAACCTAAAAAACATTATTAAATTAGAAATAAATACAATAATATTTACGACATTTTACACAATATAATGTGATAGGCTATTGTAGATACAAGGAATAAATGCATATAACAGGGCTTTCGAAATAATGCGATTCAAAATGATTCCAGTGTTCTGAATTAATTATGATGACAGGTTTATATTCAGTGTGTTAATGAGGTCAAACGATTTTTTTATACATTTAATTACACTCTGTGTTACTTATGGCAATTCAGCAGTCTGTCTGACAGTATAAGGCTATCCGACAGCCCCTGTATTTAGTATGAAACAAACACACACTACAGATAAATCAACACTGTAATTCAAACTGACATAGCAACACAAAAGAGCACAGACATCAACATGTAAAATGGTTTGCCAAATGTGTGTGTATGTACTAATGTACATATATATCACTCACAGCAAGCCTCAGTGACCTAAAGAAGTTATTTACAACCCTTGTGTTAGTGTATCATGTGTTGTATACATCATCGTGTGACGATATAACCAGGTAAATACAACACATACCGACAATTAACAGGTCTTCATCGCTAACTCACATTGCTAAATAGTTGAAAGTCATGATATCACTTATGTTAGACGGTAGATATCCGACATCTTACATAGATTTAACCACGTGACGGGTACAATATCTGGTATCATCATAGCTATATCAAGTTCTATTTCTACGCTTCACTCGTTCTTTAACAAAGTAGGACTATCTTGGAGGTGCATGGAAATACAAGAAACGCTTATCCTTTCGTAGCAAATGGTTGATGGAAGTAAATAATCTCTTCATTTGATTCTCACAAAATTCGTTTGCGCTTTTCTGTTTTCTGAGTTTAATGTTCTGAATAACGAAATAAATTTAGTGAATACAATAGTGTACTTTTTATGATCATGTTTGAAGCTATATTTAGTGTGCTGTTATTTTCATGATCGTGCTTGAAGCGACTTATTCGCAGGGGGATTTGGAGTGGTATCCGTTGTTAAGATGGGTCTTGATGACTCGTTGCAAAAAACTGAAGAAGCTATCCGCTCACTCGGCTTGTTACTTTGTTAAAATGTCAGTCTCAAAAATATAATCATTTTACGTTATGAGTAAACTGTTAAAAGCGCTGATAATTAGAGGGTCCGATGCGTACTAATAAGTACATTAATAATGCAATCATATAAAGGTGCTACAGGAAATTGTAAATTGTCTCGGGGATCTGTTTTTGTCCTATGTTAAGTAGGGGGAGGAAGTCGTTAGGAGTTTTCTGTCTCCTTAGTCCATGGTGGTAACTTTTTATATCAGTTTGTTCTTGAATACTTACGGGGTTCTTTCGCAATAAATTACAAATCACTCCTGTATCTTCCTTCTCCTTTAACCAATCAAATATAAAGCAATACATATGCATAACAGTTGACACAAATAATGTGGACACACAAAACTAATTTAATAATTAAATGGATACTTCTGAAATTGAATATGAATGATAACATTACAATGTGACAATACGTTAAAGTCTTTACTTACAAAATATAAGATAACACAAAAAGTTCAGGTGTTTTGTTCATTTTATAAAATACAAATATGAGTACGGGAGCGCGTTTAAAGGAATGAAGTAGTTATAATTATGTCCGCTTTAACTATATCATTTTTACACGAAACAAGTAAAAATCTATACACATTAAAATTCACAAATGTACATAGTAAACATCGGTGACCGATAGACTGAGTATATAGTTCATTACTTAATAAATACATGCATACATTTTATTACTTCAGATTATTTTTTGCTTCAATTTTTCTATAAATCTGATATATATAGATATAGATGGAATCATTGCATTAACGTTAAGGATTAGACACGGCCAGGGTTTGCTAACACACTTTTTGTAGCTGTTTTAGATCTCAAAACCTTTTTTTGTGTATTCATAAAAAAAACCAGGGACCTATATACACAAACCTGCTGCCAATATTTAAACCTTTAGAGGTCATTGTATTGTATAGCGTATTGTATGGAGTAAGTTTGACGGATATCATTGTTCTTGTTTTGGTTTCAGGTGAGCTTGGGGCTGGCTTACTCCCTGACAAAAGTACAGATGACTATCACACGATACCCGGGCAGACGACAGCCGAACTGACACGTGACCCACTTCATGATGTCACCCGGGTGAAGATGAACAACAAATCTCTTTCAAAATATTCATCACTTAAGACGAAGCACACATCCGGTGGTAACGAACACACGGCAATACATTCCACAGTGCTGCAAGGAAAAACAGAACCATTTGCATCAAAAACGCTTTCGAAAAGAACAAAACTTCCAACTAGTGCTGTAATAGCTAAAACAAATTCTGCTGTAGCACAAGTTAAATCTGATTCAAATTCATCTGCATCATCTCAACAGACCAAACACCAAGTAGCAATTAAGGCAACAAAGCGTGTGGGAAATGTGATACCGAACCCTGAACCCGGTGTGCAAGTGAAATTACGTTCTGGTGTAGGAAAAGATACTGGGAAGATTTCACGAGACGAAAAACGCATTCCTATCAGACGAAATGATAAGCTTGCTCATCCAGATTATGCAAAGAGGTGCAAAACGTTTGTAAATGAACAAGAAAGTGTTCGTACGGCTGTAGTGAATTCCGGAACAACACGGGCCAATGTTTCTTCAAGACATAGTATAACAGTTGTGAGTGACAAAAATATATCACCTACTACATCAAACAGAGCCGGTAATTTGTCTTCCATCGTCCCGGCAGATGTAAAGAAAAGTGAAGTAGGAAATGTTACTGAGAACAATACAAAGTTTTTATCAGGAGATAAAGATGAAAATAAAACCCCACAAATCACAACAGGGGGTGTTATTACGACTGGCAATCAAATTTCCGATATATCTCAAAGGAAAGGAATCAGAGTAGAGAAAAGTTGTACTCCCGCCAAAAAGATATCGTCTGCTGATAATAAGAGCAGTTTGGAGACTTCTTCAACTTTCAATGAAATTACACAGCCAGCCGATCGTTTTGGACGCGTGGAAACCAAATCAATATCACAAGAGCTGGATATACCGCTAGGAAGTTTGGAATATTGTTTCTCGGACGGCACGAATCTATCGGTGACAGAAAATACCTCGGACGAGGGTTCATCTCTGTTGTCTCACCAAACAGATGGTATACCTAACGTGTGCTTGGGTGCTGCCGTGCTCTCTGGCGGAGGTGAAGTATGTACGGGCCAATTACCCGGGATTAACGCACCGACAACGGGGATTAATTTAGTGACAGATACTGATGAAGTGGAGAGGAATGAGGATGTGTCCGTGTCGTGTAAGTACAACACTTACTGTGTAACAAAATACCAGAATAACGATATCGGTAGTCATGTCTCGAGTAATGCCGAGTTACTTCAACACAGCGTTCAATACGAAGGAACGGATCAATCAGTGGGTTATCGGCAGGAATTCATTCTCACACGAGACGTGGAAAACGATGTTTTACACAAACCAACTGTCGGGATAGATAAACTGAAACGTGATGGGGGATTTCTCGGTGACATGTCTCACCACCCCAATGTGGCCGGGTGCCAACACATATGTGATTGTGATAAAACCATCAATAGTGGGCAGGTTTGTAATGAACGTACCACAGATGATACACGTGTGAACACCACCGTCTCTGATACACACGTTATGTCAGAGAATAATGGTTGTGGTGGAGAGTCAAGGACGTGTAAGACAGACACCGGTGACAATGCTGATGAGAGCATTTTAGAAGACGAGGCTCCAATGACAAGTAATGTCATAACAAACGATGATGAAAGTCGTATTGAAAAGCACGACCCCACAACAGGATTGAACAACGTTCCTATTAAAAATAGGTCTGACAAGAATACAAGTGATCACGACTCAATGTATCATTCAGGTACTAACGTTACAGACGATGTGACAGACCAAAGGTGTGATAACCACTCAAATGATCAAGATCCAATGACATGGAACACCGTTACAGACGATGAGACCGACCTGTGTGCAGACGATCAATCTGAAAGTCAGGCTCCAATGAGCGACGGTGTTAAGGGAGTAATGAACAGTTGTGATGGGGCTAATAGGTCAGACTCGGATATTAACGGTATGACCGGTGATTACGTTCCCAGCGTACACAGCTATGACACCGAGGTTGTCCCCAGGGGGACAGTATCCACACTTAATACTGAGCGTGATAAAAACACGGATAACGTGACAGGTACCGTGTACAAACCGAGTGATGAGGACAAATTGGACCACGGCATACAAGGTATGTTACAATGTACCCCTATCAGTAGGGGATCTAATCCAGAGAAATCCAGAACCACTGAGCTATCAGTAAAACAGGAATTTAAAACAAGCGGGACCGGTTTGATGAGATTAAATTCAAAGGATGATAAGCGGAGTGGGTCAGGGAACGCGGAGCACGTATCAAAATGTAAACAAGGAGCAAACAATAAAACTTTCTTCTCAAAATCGCGATCTCTTAGTCCACAAACATGTCCTCGACAAAATGCGGAAATGTCAGATGAATCATGTTTGATAGAAAAAGTCCAAGGAAATACGTCAGTGACCAACGTAAAAACTATTAAAAAACCAAGGACTTCAACGCCCATTAACAGCCGACGTTCTGCAGGAAAACAGAACCTCACAAATCCCCAATCAAATGATATAAAACGTAGTAAGAATTTGTCGGGAATTACGCCGTCTGCCTCTGGGAAATATCCAAAACGTTCTACAAAACTCCAGTCAACATCCAAAATTACCAGAGAAAGTTCGGGCGGTCAAAAATCGAATTCTGTGGATGTGTGTATCATGGATAAACACACCAGCGAATTATCAAAGGAGAGTTCTATAAGTAGAGAATCATCTCCATCTCTCTCCGTATCGAGTGACGGACAACGCTCAAAAAGTTCACGAGACAGTGTTTCCTCAATTAATGGGCCATCTCGAAAATCAGTTATCGGGAAGGAAAAGAAGGAGAATTTGAATCTAGTAAACAGGCGGACAAATTATTCTGACATTAATACTACAAGTGATAATCCCACACACAACGTCAGACATCAGACGGACCGCTCAAAACACCGACTCAAGTCACCAGAGGTGAATGAGTCAAGCCGGATCAAGGGTCATGGGACAAGTTTACAAGCTAGAAAATATTCAAGTAATGGACAGACAATTACAAAGGATAAAGACAGAGAAGCATCTAGTGGACTAGGGAACGTAACTCTCAGAACTGGGAAAGGGGAAGCAACAACGGTAGCAAAGCTGGGTTCTGTGACGTCATTAAAAGAAACTTCGAAAACTTCAATAGGTGTTAAAACAGATACTGTACCTATTAAGAAATCAAAGGTGATGGGGTATGAAAAGAGTACAAAGTCAAAAGATAATAAGGTGTTTCAAGTATCCAACACGAAAAGCGATCTTGATAAACCCATGGACCCCTTGTCATCAGCAGTACTAAATGAGCGAAGGGCATCAGTATCATCGCTTACTACCAACAGTAGTGACCTGGGTAATCGGTGCATTACACAACCATCGAGGCCTAAAGTTAAAAGCAAATCTAAACCTCAGACAGCGTCGGACGTTACGGAATCAAAAAGGTTATCGGACAAGCCATCGCATATGAAAAATAAATCATCTAGCACCTCCGCTCTACCCCGACAAAGTTCTCAATCAAATAAACAGACATCATCAACAGGGATAACTAGTGTAATGCAAAATAGAAAAAGCGCAATTCCTTCTCTAACACCTACACAATTAGCTCGCGTGTCCAAACATCACACCTCGGCTTCCGTGCAAATTAACAAGCCAACTCGTGTTGGAATGGCAAGTAGCAAAATTGGCGTTAAACAACAAAGTGAGCATGAATCGCCTCTGACCATGTCTGTCAATAAGATGTCTAAACGTTCAATCAGCTCAAAGGTGAAATCGGCGCCAACCATTCATAGAAACACAAAGGAAAAAAGCCCAGTAGAGCAGTGCAAACGTTCTCGGTCCAGCACTCCAAGCGAAACGTCCAGTGAGGTGTCCAATACTGGGAATAACACATTACCAAAACCAAATACCGGAAAGACGTCTACAACAGTGAAAAACAATGTATTATTGAAACCTAGGCACTCGTCCGTCCCTAAACCAACACGTGCTAGCAGTGGCACTCAGAAACGTAACGGAAACCCTGATAAGACTGGTGAAAAGTGCAAGGAAATTAATCGACCAAATGTCCCTAAAAGTTTATTAGGTAGTCCTAAAAACAAAAGGGGTTTAGACTATAGGCACTTAAACGCAAGAACAAAAATAGAAGTCACTATGGATTCTTCTCCAGAGTCGGACAGTTCGCCTACTTTAACCTGCTGTGATCCCATTGACAAATGTGACGGGTCACCATTAGAGGCGATGACGTCACTGCCGGTTACGCCCATGTCACCACGGTTCGTGAGTGCGAGGAGTTCGATGGGTGGAACACCTTTCACGACCCCACCAGAGGAGTCAAAGTATTTTGTGTTACATGAGAAAACATTGCTGGAATCATCTAAGTCGTTAATAACAAGGGACGGACACTTTGTTGGTGAAGATGAAAGAGCATTGTTTGGACCGGGGGATTTATTACCCGTTACTTTTAACAACGAAAACAGTGTAGCATCTGAAAACGATAAATCCTCGGATGTAGACGATGCTTATCCACTTACTGCAGTAAATATCAGCAGGTGTGAGGTTTCGGGAGAAAATGTCGGCATTACGAGACGTGGATCGAAAACACTTACGAAAGTTTTGAAAAGTGATATCACCGATCAACTTCCACTATCAGAGGCTTCAAACATAAAGGATCCAGCGGCAGGGTGTCGACAAAATGTAGATATTGCATCTAATACAGAATATGTAGAACAGCTGTCAATTGGAGGGAAGTCCGAGATCTCGGTGATAACGTCGCACATAGCAACAGAGCCCGTCGCCTTACCACTGCCTGATGGAGTTGAGGGCGGGAGTGATACTGGTACGGTGTCTAGTGATGATTACTTCTCTATTAGTGAGGAAGATGAAGGGGACAATACAAGTAAAGACATAAATGTATGCGGTGTATCAGTACCTCACGTCGATCCTGTTGGCTCGTTAGCCCAGGTCGCTGAACTTGATACTAATGTATTTGATGGCAACTCTGCACGTACAGTAACGGACGTTACGTGTGATGAACACGCATCCCTCGTTGACAATTATGGTATAGACCCATTCCAACAATCTAACACTGGAGAAATAATACCCAAACAGTCTGGCCCCAACGAGAGAGCCTTATCTCGATTTCGTGATGCCGAAGCCAAGTCTAGTAACACAAATGATAGATTTATACTGGAAACAAGAAACAATTGTACCAGTTCGATACATTCCGCGGATAGTGGTGGTGTAAAAAGCCACCATTCTGAAGATAATTTATTTGCAAACAAAACTCCTTTTGATTTGAAACCTGAAAACATTACTCATCATCAGAAATCTGATCTTGATAGCAAACCCGTACTTATAAACAGTCGTGAGCTTGGTAAGAACTGTGTTCCCGATAAGAACCAATATGTGGCTACAGATTATGAAGCTGTAGTGCCTGTACAGGCAAATTTAGGTGAATATTTTGATGATGGAAATGATAAACCCGAGATGCAAATAAATGATCACAAGGAGGTCGCTCTGGATAGTAGCGGTATTAAACGCGGCGGTAGTTCGGACGAAACGGAAGGAGCATTTACAGGGATCATGGATAGTATATCAGACTTATCATTCCAAAATATTTTGACGAACCAAAATAACCTGAATGGGATACCAACTGTGAGTAATATAAAGCCACAGGAACGTTATGGCCCTAGTCTTTTGACATTGGAGCACGGTGGATCGGACGTTCAGGGAAAGGACGGTATCACGTCATATTCTGATAGAGATGTAAACAGGACAGACGGCTGTACGTTAGAGTCTGTTACGGACGGCGAAACAACAGGCATTTTTGAGTTACAGCCTTCAAACTCTAGTGAAGGGACAGACCTAAGTACATTACAGCTTGTTAAGGACGGTGAAGGGATCAATGGTAAAAGGGTACAGCCAGAAAAGATACGTGTTTCTGGGGAACATAGGGAACATGATGTTATACGGGATTATACCAGTGGTGAAGGGGAGCATTATGGTGTCGGTGAGTTAAATGTGCAATGGAGAGATGAGAGAGATTTAACGGCTGATCCTAATGATTCAAGGAGAAAAGTGGTTTGTGATTTAGGTGGCGGGGATGGGGTGTGTGATTATGAGACAGAAAGCGAAATAATTGGTGAAATATCTGATAGTGAATCTGAGTCAGAGGAGGGTTTTTGCTCCACACAGTACCATTCTGAGAGTGGGGAGGAGCATGGCGATATTGCAGAGATGAATGGAGAATTGGGACATTACAATCAGAATAACATGGCGTCCAGGACCCCTCAAACAGAAACAGCTGTGGCCATGGAAACATCAAATACCATTTATAGTCCCAGGAGGAATTTATCTTCAAGGAATGAAGCAACGTGCATAAGAAAATATGAAATTGTAACTACCACTATTACACGGCATAAAAAACGTGAGACAAAAATTATCGAATCGAGCAGTAAGTTATCGACCGGTGCTGGTAGACTGCACGAAAGGCGGGTCACGGACCCTAAAAAGAATCTGGTGAATTCACGTAGCGTCAAGTTTGAAACATCTAAGGAGATTATATCAACATCGGATGTAGACGGGAAAGTATTTTCTACAGTGAAAAACAGCACAAACACTGAGATTTTAGGAAAGTTGGGTAGCAGTAGCGATGCTGCCGTATCTCCAGCGTCATCTAAACTTGCTGCATTAATGCAAGGAGAAACAATTACTATGCCAGAATGTTTGGAGCGGAGCGGTAGCATTGAATCAATGAACAAAGTGAAACACAGCATAGACACTCTCGACTCTGGGGACCTACAACCGGCGGTTTCCTGTGGTGAACTATTGACTGATGGTGGGTATGATAATACAGTGTCTTTGCTACAAGGCAGCGACGACAAAAAATACAAAAGTTTGGAAACAAAAACTTTATCGACGAGTGTCGAAGGAGGTCGACTATTGAACACTGGGGGTATACGTAACCCGCCTCCGTCGCCAGTATTTACCAGGGGTCAAATAACTAGTGTTAGTGATGGACAAAGTCCGACCTTGTCACCAAGACTGACCAGGGGCGATACCAAGATTTCTGTGATCAAATCAAGGAGCAATACAACCCAAACCTATAATCTTGTTAGACGGGGTAAACAGTGTGATAATGATAATACAATATCGGATATATCACTGGCAATTCAAGCTGGACAATCGGGCGTAACTACCAGCGTTACGGAGAGGAGACAGACCCAAACAGTACAATCAACCTATCAACGTAGACCTTTTTCGCCTAATTCAAGTTCCGATACTCTACCCAGCTTTGAAACCGGGAGGGAATTAAGTGATAGTGGCACGAATGCAGACGTCAAGTCCATTGGATTAAGTCAGGTAGATGGCACCATTGATACTGGTGTCGACGGACATTATCTGACCAATGATCATGCGGTCACTTCTGATTTGTCTTCAATAAACAATACTTCCGAGAACATAGACAGTATTTATGGTAATGATACAAGCGATACCGATAAAGGGGACCACCGTGGTCCTGAGTCCGCTACGACCACCATCATTGACACACCAAAAGTCGCCGTACTGGTCACTAAGGACTTTTCAGACTCCGATAACGAGTATCTGTCTGAGTCCAATGACGCTGATCAAGCAGAAAAGAAACATTCACGCGAGGACGATAAACAAAGTATAGAAAATAAAAATAAAACGTCCATTAATAAAGAGGAACCCGAACCTAAGGTGAAGGTCAGTGATGAGATTCCGTCCGTCGTTACCGACCCCACTGTCTCCAGTGAGGAGTCAGCCGAGCTAGTGGAGAATAGTGTTGTATTTACAATACCCTTACCGACTATTGAGTCTGACACAGAGGACCGCACATCTGGAGGCAATCAGTCCGGCCTACAACCCGAGGAGACCATGATCAATGAGGTCACAGACATTACAAAAAGTCAGACAGACAGGGTCGATGCTTCTGAGATTACTCAGGACACGACTCTTAAACTCGATAAAGTACCTGGTGAACCGTCCATGCTACCTACAACACAAACGAATGACGCTGTTGTTTCCGAATTAAAAAATGTTGCCAAAGATGAAACGTCGGCAAAATCGGCCAAGGCTCAAAGACGTGAAAACGCTCGACAGCCTCTAAGGAGATATACTGCAACTGTGTGTCTTATTGAGAGGGACGAAGAAGCTTCTAACGTGCAAAATATGTCACCTCCATCCAGACCACGAGCAAGGAGCAAAAGTCCAGTGGAGCTCAAGAACTCCGGTACTGGACCCGAGAGTCAGCAACAAGTGTCGGTTTTTGGAAATGGCCGCGTATCCGAGATGTGTAGAAGTTTTATTAAGAAAGCCAGCAAGGGAAAGGTAGCGAGTTTGAACGAAGAACCACCCTCGTCGCCTCTTGTTCAGTCACCGTCTCCATCGAGGAAATTAAAATGGGTGAGGGACTACGGCGTGTGGAAGAAGGTCACGCCAGCCGAATATGACAGAATTATGGCATCAAGGTCTTCAGCCATACCGGAAATTACGTCATCAATGGAGGACTTGAACCAAGGACCGGGAAACCATACCATATCAGCACGTGAAGAACAAGAAAGTCAGCGAACTGAGTGTGTTCAATCAAAACACAGAGACGATGCAACGGATGAAAGCCAATCTATCAAAAATAAAGATATTCATGATTCCATTCCTTATATCGACAATACCGCGGACCAAATCTTAACCGAGGAAGAAGAGATTACCAAAGATGTTACTGACACACAAAATCTATCAAACAGCAAGCGCAATGAAAAAACGTTACAGGAGGAACTAGCAGTAGCAGAGGAAACGTTTTCGTTTAAAGACAACCCTTTTAAAAGAGACGAATGCAATGAACGTAGGGACTCTCTAAAAGGTACAGGTAAAGACAGTACACGAACGCCTCCGAAAACGTTACCAAAGCCCAAACATCGTCGGAACAGGACTGACAGCGGACAACAGGACTTACTGCCGGACAAGGAAACCAGGACGACTGGCGTCACACAAGATGACACATGTGTGGACGTACAGACGACAGATATACTATGTCCGAGTACAGAGGTTGTCGAACTAGACAGGACGCTGACGGACATTGATTCCGTACAAGTCGGGATTGAGGGACGAGAGGAGGTAGACAAAGTTAGCAATGAGTCAATGCCATCTTTATCAGATAAAACCCCAGAAGTTCACGTCCCGATGAAATCTCAAGATAATATCAACGACGAAAACGCTGTAGTGGAGAATGATAAGGATAGAGAAAATTTGTCAAATAGATACTCTCCGTCGGAGCGTAAATCCCAACTACACGACGTTCAATGTGGCGCATCCCTATCTATGGATTCACGCAATGTGTCGGCACAATCCCATGTCAACAGCATGACTGAGGAGGACAGTAATGACGGTATTAGAACAACCACCGACACAGAAAATGGAACCTGCAATGTATCAGACTCGCGCTCCTTTGAGAAATCCACTATTAAATTGGAAAATAGGGTCGATTCGAATAGCCCGACCTTAACAGACAACACGTTATTTAACAGTTCTAGAACGGATGTCAAAGAGACCGAAATGGAGAGCGTCAAAGACGACAGCAGTCCGGAACTCGAACGTATGAGCTTTGCCCAAAAACTAAAAAAGGCTCAAAGTCGTTCCGAGTCCAAATTGGAAACAAAAGATGTCACAAGGTCAAAGAGAAAGCAATTAGAAATAACGCATAAGGAAGATAAAAGGGGAGATGATAGCGAGAGCAATGTTAGTCATGACGACGAGTCATGTGATAGTCCTGTTCAACCCGGCTATAAACCGATTGTCCCTAATTACGTTATTGGTAGTCCTCAGAAACTACGAGCGATCCGAATAAAACAGGAAATATTTCCCAAAGAGGAACCAGAACAGGTAAAACCAAAAGCTATCAAAAAGCTTACAGCCGTCAAAATTAGCTCTGAAACGTTCCCAAAAGAAGAAGGTATAACTTCAGAAAATGGCGGGAAATTTGAATCACGTGATACTTCTCCAGGTGCGTGTGATATTGTTGAGGACGCTGGCAGTAAGACCCCTACAAATGAATCACAGGTAGAAAGTGGACTGAAAAGGGTTATTACGTATGATGACACATATACAACCAGAAGTGACTTAGATAATTCTCAAGTGGATCAAACGAGAGGTAGGACAGGAAGACAACTCCCAAAACGTTGTATAAACCCAGTAAAATTTTCCTACGGTGGAATTAACGGTGATTATTCAGGGGATTTACAACCCGTGACCAGGCATGAAGCAGACGACAAGTCTCCAGAAACTCCCGTACACGCTCTGCAGAAAGAGGTAGGTCAAACATTTTACTTTCATATTGACATTTCAACGTCTGGGTAGATGTATATTTTGTTTGGTTTGCAATACCAGCCTTTTTCTTTTCAGTAGGATTTGTCAAGTTCAATTGTCAAATCAAATATTTTACTTTTCAATTTTGCTAAATTCAACCATGTTATATTTATTGAAGTCAAACATTTGATATGTCAAGTTAAAACTCTTTTTTTTTAAAACTTCTGATTTGATAACAAGTTGTTGCAGCAAACATGAAACTACATATAAAGGTCAAGGTCAAAGGAAACTCGAGCAAACAGACGAACACATAATTGTTTTATGGGTGTCTAGTGGAAGCCTGACCTTGTACACATGTCTATGCTACAGACAATGTATATTTGATTATACTTAAATTGATTAGTTTTAATTAGCAATAGCAGTCTACAAAAGAAGACTTATTCACACACAGACATGATGGGAGTGTGATTAATGAAATATAAATAAATTTTAATTTTTTTTTTTTTCAAAATGAAAAAAGAAATATATAAATTCCATTATCATTGATAGTTTGTGTAGTGTCTGTTTTCACTCACATTTCATTGACTTCACATGGAAACAAACACACAAAAAAGTATTATTACTGATGTTCTTGTAACATCACAACTTCAAGAATTGAATTGTTGGAAAGTAAATTAGTTTGCTGCCAGTCCCAGATATCATGGCTAGCCATTGATCGCTATAGTGAGCTACAGAGGAGGCAATTTCCTCAACACCTCACATGGAATTGAAACCTGTAGTTACTGCAATAAAACAACATAAATTGACTTCAACATTTTAAATCCCATTTGTGTTAAAGAAAAACATGTTCAGAATGCAATAACTTTTCAATGTATCATCCACATTGTGGTGTAAATAGATTTGGAATGATAAGAAATTCAACTTCAGTATTTTCTGGATAAAAAATGATTTTATTCTAACTTGATACATTGCCAGATCTGTTTATAATACCAATATTTTGGTAGAAAAATGTTAGCAGTGAAGGAAGGTTAACTGTGAAATCAACTTGTTATAGCTGATATGACTTCCTACAAAGTGTTCATGACATGAAACTAATGTTTTGCATTAGAAACATAAAGTGTATTTCTAAAGAAAGCCAACAGTAGTAAAAAATGCAAGCTTTCGCTGTATTTTCTGATGAACATGCAGCACTGGAAACGGTGCTACTAAAAACAGAAATAAATTGATTTGCTCCTCTGAATTGAATACTTGGAAGATGTATTTATACATGGAGGCTATGATCGATACAGTTACATAGCACTAGGGGGGGGAGTCCTACTTAATGTGTACACCAAATAGTTCGGGAGACATTTTGCACACGTTACAGCTCCTAAAAATGATCATTTCCACTTGGAAAGATTTCTCTAAAGGCCAAATTTGGCTGATTGTAGAGTTTGAGTGAGGGTTTCCAGATATACATGTTAAAACAATAATTTAATTTTGGTCCCATAGTGGGTAATGACACTTTTTCCTTAGGTTTATAAAGCATCTGAAGTGATATATATGAATAGGGATGATCAGATTAGCCTGTGGTATCCTTGGATATTTCAACTCTGTCCATTCTGGTTTTACATTGGAATGCAACTTGGAACTCCAGCTAAAATGAATCTCTAAACCATCAGTGATCGACAAATGACATTTCCTTTTATTTGTAAACACAGAGTTGGTTTATAAAGATGAATGAAATATTGGAGAGTTGGTTTAAATGGTTGAATAATGTATTTGTTAGTATAGCTAGGTTACAAGGTTGAATACAGAATTCGTAAATTGTCTTTTAGAGGTGCCGGGTATCGCAAGCAATTTCTATATAGCAATGTAGAAGTTTTGTACATTTATAGTGATTTTATATAGAAAATACAAAAGGTGAACATCCATTCAGCGAGGTTCATTGATAAATTGGAAAATTATTTTATATAGATTTGGAGGACATCACACCATTAGCATGCTGCATTTGGATAACATTGATTTAATCTTAATGTTATTTCTGTAACATTATTTCATAACTGTGATTGAACCCCCAAACAATTAATTGAAAAAATGTTGCAATATGCCCGTTTTATTGCTATACCATTAATGCAAAATATTTCTGCTGGAATATTATTTCCCACCTATAGTATCCTGTGGATAAGGGGTGTCAATGATTACAGTATCTGTACAGTATTTTGTGAGTTTGTGTATATAATAATGTTCAATGCTTTATTTTTAAGGTATTTCTTTAGAGTTTATGAATACTAAGCCTTTCCCTAAATTTAGCATCATGTATAGTTATCAATAATAAACATGGTCTTATACAGATATTATTGATTTGAGATATTTTGTATTCACTTTGTGCCTGACATTTGATGCCAGTATGATATTCAACATAAATGCTGAAAAGACTGAGACCAACATTCATTGATCGCTGAGGTTGCTCCGTCAATCTTTGGTACAGATAGCGTGGCCTTTTGTGGGTTCCTTATCCTTTTGTTTGGTATGGCGTTAGTTCCTGTGATCAGCTGTTCATATCAAATCTATTTTTTTTGCATAAAATGGTGACGGGATATTTTTGCTACTTTACATAATGCATTACACGATAATAGACTTTTTTTTCTTGCTATGAACCTGACCAAGTTTATATGAACGTGACCGAGGCGATGCTAAAGTTAATATCATATTTCAAAGTTTACATCACATCATTCATATTTACCATAAAAAGTCCATACCTGTTTTATTTTTACTTTTAATAAGACAGTTCCGAAGCGAACTTTCTTCCTGGTTTTATTGTAGATTTTAAATCCTATATCTTGGCTTAGAGAAACAGTGATGCTGAACATTACAATATGTTTTCAGTTTAAAATGATTACCAAACATATGATAAGCCTTTCAAATAAATGACAGAGGTGAACTTAGTACTGAAGGGAATTCCTCTGAAGGCTATATTTAGAAAATTGATATTCATTTGAAAAAGGTATACCAGAGTTTTTGAGAACCTGTCATGTGTTTAGGATTTAGCCAATAGAAATATGAGAAATTATTAAGTATATATAATGATCTACATTGTACAACAACTGTCTGATGGATATCAATTTCACCAGAACCTGTTTCTGGACTTTAATACTTTTCAAACTAGAAACACTTTTCATTGGGTTTTTCTATTGGGCTTAAACTAATTTGTTACTAAATTTCTGCCCATAAACCTGTCAGTATAAATTACACTGTGGAGTTCTATTAACCACAATAAAGTAAGGTTTGGTAATTTTACAAAATTAATGCTACATTATCACACCTATCACACACCCTTGCCTGATAAACACATTTACACAAATTACCTATTACTGCTTTTAAAGTCTGTCTTGCGGTTTTTACACAATTTTTATTTTTTTGTGTGCAGTGTTTTATCTGTTCCGCCTGATTAGAAATAGAGACATGGACCTTTAACTTTGTGTTGTGAGATAGACTCTGTACGAAAGTCAGTCTTCACCAGCATCATGGTCGTCAGAATGTTGGGTGTGTGGGAGAACGGCTGTGAAAATTGGCCATTTTTGATTGGCATTTTTACAGCACAGTGACATGCTTTCAAGACATTTAAGAAGGGTGTGTGTTGTGAGATGGTAATTTGGAACAGTGGAGAGTAACCTAATTGATATTTCTCTTTACAGAAATTCCAACAATATGCTAAAATAGACCAAAATGAAACAGCAACACTGTGGATAACAGCTCATTAATTTAGATTCAGCAAATGGTTTTTGTCTTAATTCTTGGTAGCGCTCAGTTTATACGTGTCTTAATATTTGCTTAACTTTTTTGGCTTTAAAGGTTGTTTTTCTCCTTGGCAGTTTATTGCAAGAAATTTTAATTAAATACTTCAAAAGCTCGCTTTATCTTGAAACGGGTCTGATGTCTGCTGGATCATATTGTTGTTTCTCTGTTTAAATGAAGCATCAAGAACAAAATACAATTTTCCAAAGTTTTTAAATCTTAGTTATTTATATAGAGCCAGACTTTAGTACATTTCTTTGTATCATGCCTCTTGTTCATGTATTAGCTATACTATGTGATAAAGTCCTCCTTGCAATTTTCATACAAAAGCAAATTATATCTAGGACATAGGATGATAATGTAGTTTTCAGTTTGTTATAAAAGTATGTATACATCCTATTTGGATGATAATGTAGTTTTCAGTGTGTTATAAAAGTATGTATACATAATATTTTGATGATAATGTAATTTTCAGTGTGTTATAAAAGTATGTACATCATATTAACTGAAGTTATTTTCCTGAACTTACTGGACCTTCCAAATTTGTCTGGTAATTTTGTTTAGGAGTCAGATAGTATCACCTTCTTACACACAGATATCAAACCTAAACTACACATTTCTGACACATGTTATTATGAGCAATCTTCACAACAAATCTCATTTCTGGTGGTACAGGTACATGAAAATCCATCCATTTTTTTTCATTTACTCTTTGAGTGATTTTTTTCTTTCTGGAGCATGAAAAATATCAAGTATATATATATATACACATGTTTTTATGTAGTGTACCAAAGTCTACTGTTGATGAATAGGATAAGGCCTCTAATATTTGAGAAGGCAGCAATGAAGAGCTTTGAACTTGTCTTAGATAGTGCGATACTGTTCTGGGGAGTAGAGACCCCCAAGAGTGTTCAAATCAGGAGAGGTTGCTGTGAAGGACTTTGCCGTGTTTATGGCCTGACTGATAAACTCATCATTTCGCTTCTGTTAAATTTTGATGTTTTCTTAACCCAGCTTATGCTTCTCTCATGGAGAACCTGCTCCAACTCCAGGACAAACATTCTGGTTAACAGCAATATTATTCCTCTTTTCATATTCCATGTTCTTGAGAATTTCACTCTAGTTTACCAATTGTGAAACTGTAGAATGTGTTCTATATTTGCTATATATTGATGTACATTTACATCAGCAACAATTAAAAATAAGAATCTTGAAAAACATAAATG